TTTATAATGTATTACATTAATTAATCTTGGGGTGTTAAGCCAGCCTTGTATTCTTGAGATAAATCCCACTTGGTAAGGGTGTATAACTTTTTTAGTTTGCTAGATTCTGTTTGTATTTTGTTCATAAATTTTATATTCATATTCATAAGAATTATTGATCTTTAGTTTTCTTGTGATGTCATTGTCTGGTTTTGATATCAGGCCAATACTCCCCTTTTTAAATGATTTGGGAACTGTTCTCTTTTCATGTTTTTTGTAAGAGTTTGTGAAGTACTGACTATCCTTTAAATATTTGGTATGATTCAGTTCTGAAGTCATTTGGACCTGGGGTTTTGTTTGTGGGTAGTATTTCTTTTTCACTAATTCAATTTCTTCACTTATTACATATGTCTATTTAGGTTGTCTCTCTTCTGGAATAATTTCTATAGTTCATATCTCTCTAGTAATTTGTTCATTCCATGTAAATTATCTAATTTATTAGCATATAATTGTTCACAGTATTCTTTTATAATCCTTTTTATTTTTATTAAAATCATAGTAATGTCCCAACTTTTATATCTAATTCTAGTAGTTTGAATTTTATCTCTTCCTTCTTGATCAATCTATCTAAAAGTTTGCCAATGAATCTTGGAACACTGAAAAAAAATTAAATTAAATTAAAAATAAATTTCTTGTAGATTAAAAAAATAAAAAAATAAAAGTTTGCCAATTTTGTTAATCTTTTCAAAGAACCAGCTTTTGGTTTCATTCATCTTCTTTATTGTTTTCTTTGTATTTGATTTCATTAATTTCCACTCCAGTCTTTATTATTTCCTTCTTTTTTGGCTGCATTATGTTCAGTTTGTTCTTCTTTCTCTAGTATTCTAAGGGGAAAGTTTAAATCACTGGTTTTAAATCTTTCTTTTTAATAATATTAGCATTTACAACAATAAATTTCCATCTAAGCACTGCTTTATCTGCATCTCATAACTTTTGGTATGTTGTGTCATCATCTTCATTTATCTCAAAGTATTCTGATTTCCCTTTTTATTTTTTCTTTGATTCATTGGGTACTCAAGTGTGTTGTTTGATTTCCACATATTTATGAGCTTCCCAAATTTATTTTTCTGTTATTGATTTCTAATTTCATCCTTTCGTGACCAAAGAACTACACTCAATTATTTCTATACTTTGGAATTTTTTGAGGTTTGTTTCATGGTCTATCATAAAGTCTATCCTGGAGAATGTTCCCAACATTCACTCGAGAAGAATGTACATTCTGTTGTTGAATGGTGTGTTCTGTAAATGTCTATTAAGGATAATTGGCTCAACACTAATTAGTATTGTTCAAGTCTTCTTTTTCTATGTTGATTTCTGCCTAGTTGTTTTTCTTTATTTATTCAGAAGATATCACTGGTTAATCATTACCAGCCAATTTTATTTATACAGGAGTCATAATCAGTATGAAAATTAAGCAAAGACATTTATCCTCTTATGTGTGAGGATATGCAAAATAAATCAAGTGTGAGTTATACCAAAGTAGGTATGTAATCTTACTTCCACTTCTCTGGTGGATGTGCAAGTTCATACTTCTCCCTCACATTAGAGACAACCATATCCAAATGGAGCCAGTGAACCTCTTCTGACCACAGGTGACTGAGGCAAAATCCATAGCAGGCCATGTGCTTTACTTTGTGACTGTCTGCTATCTTCTGGAAGATGCCCGGATGTCAGTAGCATCTCCATGCCTGATAATACTGGCCCAAGTGGCTGGTTCACTGCTGTTTTCAAAATAATAAAAGACCTTCAACAATTGCTCCATTGCCTCAGGGGAACATTCTGCTCCAGTATCCAGGTGAATACTGGTACTCAAATTCAGTGTGTGATTCAAGTTTGGGTCAAAGTAAGCAGCTGCCATTATTTTGCTAGATGCTCTGTATCTGTCATGCTAGTTCCAAAGGCCACAGTAACTCTGTGAAGTCAAAGGACAATTTAAAGAAAATGCTCCTAGTTTCTCTATTCTCTTTCCGTAGTAGCCTGAGAACTCGAACCTTGCTGGGCACCTGGAAGTGAAGGTAGCCAACTTCGAGGTGGCACCACGAATTGATCTCCGTGCTCCTTCCCAAGCCTCACACCATAGGTGCACAGAGGTCCCGCCTCTGCTGGGGCGATGGCAGCCAAGGCAGCTGCCAACATGCACCCTCCTGGGTGGTACTGCATTGGCACGGGCCCTGCATGACTGGCGACTGTCTGTGATTTATGACCCTGCCACTGCCTGGTTGTTTCTTTTTGGGGGGGTTGTTCTATTATTGAAAACTGGATATTAAAATCTCCAATACTATTGTATACTTATTTCTCACTTCAGTTCTGTCAGTGTTCACTTCCTATACCTTCATACTCTGGAATTTAATTGTATATATTTATAATTGTTATATCTTCTAAATGAATTGATTGCTTTGTACATATATGTTTTGAAAAATAGATAATGTCCTTTTTTATCTTGAACAGTTTTTCTGTTTATGTGGAATGTGTCTTTATATTAATATAGCCAATTTGGCTCTCTTTCAGTTACTGTTTGCATGTGATACATTTTTTATCCTTTTATTTTCATCCTAGTTGTGTCTTTTAATCTAAAGTGAGCCTGTATACAGCATATAGTTGGATCATAATTATCCATTCTGTCAATGTCTGTCTCTTAATTGGTGGGTTTAATGTGGTTATATTGCATGTAACTCTAAAGACTAAATTATTTCTATTTTTTATTTTTTATGTCTCATGGGTTTTTTTTTTTTGGTTCTTGTATTCCTTCATTACTCCTTTCTTTTGCATCAAGTGACTATTTTCTAGTGAAGTATTAATGCTTCTCTATTTTTTTTACTTTCTCTATATAGTTGTTGCTGTAGGGCTTACCATATACATTATATCTTATCAGATGCATATTTGTATTAGCTAAATTCCAGTGATATATAGAAACATTACTCCTATATAGCTCTATTCCCTTTCTCCTCCCCTTTTTGTCATATTATTATTGTACATACTACATCTATTAATATTACATAATATTAATTATTATAATTATTATTTATTATCATTAATACTTCACCATCTGTAGTCATTTCTTTAGCCCAGTACAGCTTTGTTTCCACCCAACACTTTTGAATTATTATTGGTAACATATCACAAGTATATTACATTTTTATATGTTATAGGTCCAGTCATATATACATATTATTTAATACAATTGCTTTTCAGTCAAAGAGAAAGGAGAAAAATATGAATTTATATTGTCTTTTATAATTACACAATTATCTTTACCATTATTCTTTAAGTTTTCATTTAAATTTCAGTTATTTAATATACAGCGTAATATTAGTTTCAGGTATACGATACAGTGATTCAATATTTCCATACAACACCTTATCCTTATCACAAATGCACTCCTTATTGCCCATTACCTATTTAACCCATTCCCTCACACACCTTCCCTGTGGTAGCTATAGTCTAGAGTCTGTTTCTCGGTTTGCCTCTCTGTCTTATATTTTTCCCTGTGCTCATTTATTTTGTTTCTTAAAATTCCACATATGAGTGAAATGGTTTGTCTTTCTTTGACTGACTTATTTTGCTTAGCATATTAGTCTCTATTTTTTGTTTGCATTTGCATTTGCATTTGCAAATGGTGTCACTTGCTTTGATCCTGAAGAAATTCTTCCAGTATTTCTTATAAGAATGGCCTGCTAAAAATAAATTTCCTCAGTTTTCTTTATCTGGAAATGCTTTTATGTTGCCTTCACTTTTGAGAGATAGCTTTACTATATAGGATTATGTGGTTGTGATATTAACTTGTATATTTAATAAAACCAGTATAGGTATTTAGGAAGTTTAGATAAATTAAATTCTGCATGAGAAAACAAAACCAACTCTCCCAGAAAATAAAATATGTACTTTTATTAAATTCTATATTATAATCAGAATGAAGAAATGTATCTGTATATAAGCTAAAATTATCAAACTAGTCTTATTTGCTTAAGAATTCATGTAAATATGGATTATTACTAAAAATGATTCTAAGATCTAGTTTCTTTGAGAAAGGTGGTTTTCTTTTTGTCTGTCTTCCTGAAAAGCCGGCACATTTTTAAAGTAGCAGATTTTTAAAATCTGCTTAAATTTTTTATTTTTTATTTTTTTTTTTAAAGATTTTTATTTATTTATTTGACAGAGATCACAAGTAGGCAGAGAGGCAGGCAGAGAGAGGGAAGCAGGCTCCCTGCTGAGCAGAGAGCCCAATGCGGGGCTCAATCCCAGGGTCTTTTTTTTTTTTTT